TAACAGAACACACCATACACAAGGATCTCAAAATGCTATCCAAGTACTGATGAAACAAGTTTTATCTAATGCTGTGAGATGGGAGACTACTAGCACAGACACAGGTATAGGCAGTAAAACACAGGGATTCTAGTAGGCCTGTTCAAAATTACCACAGTAGCCTATGTTACAGATTCATGACAGTTATAGCTGTATACATCTACAGACATGGATCTATCTATGAGAGAGAGAGATGATATCCTGAGAAAGGATCATTAGATCACAGTTTGTCCCTAAATCATTAGAGTCAGCAGGGGATTGGTTTGACTGATTGCATTCTGACAGCTATGAGAAGAGGTTAGCACAATATAACAAACATGAGAAAATTCCTACAACATTTATGCAGGAAACTATTTGCTCTTATTTCATTGTCTGTGTTTTTAGGGTATCTGTTTTAAATAACAGCTTCCTCTCTGCATTTGATCCTACAAGAAAGACCCTTTCTGTATATAGGACAGCAGAGTGTGTTGCCATGGAAATTATGATCTACTTAAATTCAACAAATCCAGCCTTATGGGGTATATTCCCCAGAGTATCTCAATTTAATTATTAATGTTCTTTCTAAATAGCAACATCTTTCTGTTTTGACCGAAATCCTTATAAGCACAGTGAAAACAATAAACCTGGAAAGTGGAATCCTTTGTTCAGCTGCAAAACAGGTGCAGTTAAGCCAGGGAAGATGCAAACAGCCTCCAAGCTGCCCTGCCAACGTGCTTCAACTCAGACCTAGATGGATCATCTGGAAGGGAGAAAGTCTCATTCAGTGCCTGTGTCCATTATGTCCCTGGCCTCTCTGCTGTGACTTCCAGCAAAAATACCAGCTAGGACAGTGGGGTTTTTTCCACATGTCCAGTGGAATCTAAACACTGACCATCAATTCATTTCCATATAGCCACCAGTCTTGCGCTCATTCTCCAGCCGTGCAAGCCCAGTGAAACCACTCAATCTTTTCCCATGAAATATATCACTAAACCCAAAGCCTTTCAGCCTCAGGGCAGCTCCAGTATCCATCTTTCTCCTTCAAGTGCCACCATGAATTCTGCAGGTAGATTTTAGGCGCCAGATGGTGTTATTCAGGCTGATCTAACACTGGGGATAGTTTCTTGTGGGTCACATAATATGGGTGGCTCACAGGTCTAAGTTTAGACATGCACAGACACGTGTCCTCCCAAGTCCCCAGCAGAAGAGGCAGCAGGACAAGCAGAACCCTTCCACGAGCAGGAAGAGGCTCAAGAGCCTAGAATTGCTCATCCACAAAAGGGCCCAAGGCAGAGCGCAGCCTGGAGCAGCCCTGCGGGAACTGCCCGAGGCAGAACAGCGACCTTATCACTATGGCTATTTAATGTGACCTGCAGCCTGGGTAAGCTGCTCTCCCCACATGCTCACAGCAAGCGTTAGGGCATTTGTGCCGAAGACATCAAGACAAAGGTAGCCATGAAATGTTGTGATGACAGGAGAAGGTCATCTTCCTGTGATTGCTCTGCTCTTAATCTTGAAAAGGTGCTTCCCATCTATCCTCCCTAGAAGGGTATTCCTCACAAAATGTCATCTAAGATTCCTGGTTTCACTCCACCATGAGTGCTTCTCAGGGACTGACAGTCACGAGAGCTCTGCCACAGTCTACGCAAAACATCCCAGAGCACCCCTGAACTTTTGACCATTGGCTTGGAAACTTCAGCTCGAAATTCGTATTTACATTGCCCCTCCAATTCTACTCCAGAGAGCGTGTCTCATGCCCACGTCAGGGTCTATCATGTGTAAAGCAGAACTGATCGTTGAGATGGACAGAAGTTATCACTAAGCCTATTTTACAGGTACCAAATTAAGAAAGAATAAATAACTTGCCCTCCTCCCACAGGGAGTTTGTAGCACCGCTGAATCCAGGCTCTTGGTATTCTCATACAAAATCCGCAGCACAAGTCCTTCCCTCCTCCCTCGTATGAGGCTGGTTATTGGTCATAAGCCTCCCTCCAAAACACGAGGCAAGAAATGTCTGTTAGTTTTTGGCTTTCCTCTAAAAACACTTATTTAGAGGTTGGAAACAAGAAATAGAATAAATGAGCTCAACTGAGCTGAATGAAAGGAAGCAACAGTATGAACTCAACAGAATAGGAGTGCTTCTTGAGCAGGAGCTGCAACTGTTTGTTGACGCTGATAGCATTGAATTGTTCGGTAGACTCAAAGGCAGGCTACACATGTTGCCCTGGCATCCCTGGGACCCGTCCAAAAAGGCACAAAATTCCAGACGTGAGGGGCATTCTTTCTAGCTCCTCACAAATAGGTTCTTCAATACTGGTTTTGCTGTCCTGTAAAATTTGCCATTTTGGAAAGCAAAAGAATACTGTTGGCTCCATGAGACAGAAGGGAGAAAAATGGACCGTAGCTTTATTGACCAGTTGATTGATTCCTTCTTTGGAATTGGTTGGTTGCTTATTTATTAGCAATTAGTGCATTAGCAGTAAGGGACACAGCAAGCAAGTAGGCAGCATTTGAAGAAACAAACCTTTACTAAGCGTGACACCAGGCCAGCGTTCCCAGCTGTCCCCCTGTCGCTCCCAAGAGTCAATCTCCAACTTGACACCTAATCCTCTGCCTCCATATAAATGTGTGTCCCTCTGAAACATAATCCTTGCTCTTCATTTCTGTTTACTGTACAACCAACTTCCCTCCTTCTTCAGTACCACCCTCGCCCTTCTTCTGGCTACCTGGCAGCTTTTACCAGCCTGCAGGTCACTGCTTTAACACCCGCATCAAATGAAAATCCCTTGTCCTCCCCTTCTAGATCCTGCAAAACGTGTCTACAAGAAACAAAAAGCAGGGTACCCCACTAAGGAGATATGCCTGCTCTGAGCTTCGTATCAAAAGATGGAGTTATGCTGCGTACGAAGCTTGGGAAACCACCACCCATGTTTCTAGTTCTGGCATGCCGCTCCAGGTCTGGAGTGCCTTCCTAGGTCCTGCCTGCAGAATGAGCAGGCGTGTCCTGTTATCTCAGTCCTTCTCTTCAGAAGCACGCAAGTCATGGAAAGATAAAACAGTTTTCATTTCGTCGCTTCTTCTAGTTCATTTTCACCACTCTGCTCACCATCTGTTTTGCCTGTATTTCACTGGTTTAGATTAGGAGCTCCTCAGAGCAGGAATCTCGTCTTACTACATGCATGTGAAATGCCAAAACAGAACATGAACACTTGTCCTGGTTTTGGCAGGGATAGAGTTAATTTCCTTCCTAGCAGCTGGTACAGTGCTGTGTTTTGGATTTAGGATGAGAACAATGTTGATAACACACCGATGTTTTAGTTGTTGCTGAGCAGTGCTTACACTAGTCAAGGACTTTTCAGCTTCCCATGCTCTACTGACTGAGAAGGCTGGAGGTGCACAAGAAGCTGGGAGGGGGGGCACAGCCAAACTGGCCAAAGAAACATTCCATACCATGTGACGTCATGCTCAGTACATAAACTGGGGGAAAGCTGGCCGGGGGGGCCGCTGCTCGGGGACTGGCTGGGCATCGGTTGGCAGGTGGTGAGCAACTGCACTGTGCATCACTTGCTTTGTGTATTATTATTATTACTACATTATTATTATTATTATTTTATTTCAATTATCAGTTTCTGTCCTGGTTTCAGCAGGGATAGAGTTAATTTCCTTCCTAGTGGAGCTTCCTAGCACTGGTACAGTGCTGTGTTTTGGATTTAGGATGAGAACAATGTTGATAACACACCGATGTTTTAGTTGTTGCTGAGCAGTGCTTACAC